TAGTGTCTTCTACACTTGCAGGGCTCATATTCAAATGATTGTTAGCAGAGTTTTGTGATGGAAGCTGTAGTCATTTTCTGCTGCTGGCCACACCGCATCTTTTCATGCACTGAGAGTGTGTCGTTCACCCACCCAGTCCTGGTGCACAATTACAGAGGGTTGAATTCATAAAAGCTTAGCCTGCTTTATCATGTATTTTGCAACTTTAACCGTCTTAAATGAAGACTGCAAAGCAAAGAGCTGGGATTCTAAAACACACAATACAGCGTTCAAATTGGCTGCATTTTGGACTTCGCTTTATGATTTAAATGCTGCACACACATACTCTGCTGCATAATGAGAACAAAGACCTCAAAAGCATCCACTGAAAAATCTTCCCTTTTCCCCCTAGTTGTAACCATTCTTTGTAATGCTTTAAAACCACTTAGAGGAAAACAGGACCAGTAAGAAATTAAGCAACATAAAATAGAGGTAACTTTAAAACACAGCTACATGCTCAATTGAATAGTACTTTTCATGGGGGTCTTATTGAAAGGCATTTTTGTGCTTGCCTGCCCTAAATCAGTTAGGGGGTCTGATGGTGGTGTGAGGAGACATTCTGTTAGCTTTTTAAACTGTCCTTTCTGCCCTACCCATGGTAATTAGTCTGTAAGTACCTTAATAAACGTAGTTACTTGAAATGACAGAGATCTACCTTATAATTGTTTGTTAAAAGCTTTAGCATATTTTTCTTTAATACACCAGGCAATCAACTACAAAGTTGAGAGAGCACTTGTGGCCACTTTTGTGGTTATTAATTTAGCATGCCTAGATTGAAATTTTTACTTGCAGTAGCCAAAAAACAAAACAAAAAAAGGTAACAGTTTTAACCCCTTTTCCCAAATGTCCTTGTGCTCTTTGGAAATCCCATGGGAGAATGCTTTAGGAAGTTGTTTTAGATACTTTGTTATGTTAAAATGAAATGTTGCCCTCTTTTGCAACCTTTGTTAAGGAGACAGGTGTGTGATGCAGGGTTCTTCCAGTCTGTGTTTCCATGCTTCGAACAAAGAGGGGAGAGGAGTGTGGGAATAATGGCTATGTATGATACAGCACTATTCAGGGGGGTAGGCAATGTGACGTGTAGTCTGGCTGCATAGAAGAATCTTTTCAGTGGCAGTTTTTAACCTTAGCGATTGCACTGACTCTGCTGATGAATTATGGAAACAAAATGGCGAGAATAATTGTACATCATGTTACTATCCTTCCAGAAAGTCAAATAATTTGTGTGATGTGTCTGCAGGTAGAGTGAACAGGAACATTTTTCTGCTGGGGTGGAGATAGCATGTTAATCCCACTGGTCTGTGTGTAAGGTAGAGGGGCATCTGTGGATGCCTGTCCGGTGTTTCTAGTTGTCCTCGGAAAGCTAGACTATGGTACTGAGTTACACTGAGAGATGTACAAGGTGACTGCAGTTCCTGAGAGGCTCATGGTGGTGTGCTCACCCCTCCCCACGTTATCACAGTTAGGCAGTTCTAAATGACAACTTCATCTGACTGCATGGACTACTTGAAGTCAAAAAAAGAATACTTCACTGGATACATGTTCAAAACATCTAGAATACCTTCTTTTCAATATATATTTGCCTAATGAGTACATTTTTCCAAGGGTAAATTATATATGTTTGGTTGTGATTATTTCCCATATGGATTGCCTTCTGAATTTCTTTATGCAACTGGATAAAGTGAGGCTGGCTGTATATGTGTCTGCAATCAGTTCCATTCATGTGTCTCTTGCATTGATTAAAAATCGGCTATCAAAATTAAAGGCTCCAAAGTCGTGGTTGATCACCAAAAAGGGAGCTAAGAGAAAGAACTCTCGAATAATACTGAGTGTCTGTTATGTGGTAGGCAGAATATAAGACAGCCTAAATGGTTAGTTTGATTAAATTATAAAATTAATAATTTACTTAAGGAAACATAACTTGATGAAATTGACACCAATTTCTAGTTATTGTCAAAAATACTTTGAAATATTCCCAGGAAACCTCAAGGTTTACTTTTGTAAGGAGTGTGGACTGCTAACTGAAAACAAATAGGACCCAACATCCCATAGTATGTGATGCAGTATATATAGCAATACAAAGGCCCGGGAGATAATATAGCTAATTCTATGTGGTTTATTTCTAAGCAGTGGTGGTTTAAATATTTTTTAATCTTTGTTTAGCTTTCTAGATTTTTCTACCATACATGTGTATGTTATGCTTAACAAGAATGTATACAAATACATGGATTTATAAAAAGTAAGTTTTGTGTTCCCAGGTTTGAGATTAAACTCTACCTGCAAATTGACAAAGAGAATTTGTACTCATGGTAGCCAGTTTCTCTCTTTTACCTGTAAGGGAAAGCTAGTGTTCATTCCCTGTGTCTAACAGTTGATTACTATTATCTTGATCAACCCCAGTGTTTGCAGTGATGGTTGAAGTGTTGTACCTAATTTGGATTTCCTAGGGTTGACTTTGGAAGACATTTGTCAAACTATTTGGATTCTTGATGGGCCATCTCTGTATAAATTATGAAAAGCAAGATTTTTGAAAATTCTAACTAGGTCAGTTCAGTTCTGAACTGCATTTCCAACACTCCGGAAAGAAGAGCTCACTCCTCCTCTCTAGAACACGTGAGCTTTCATAGTGAGATGTAAAGTTTCACAGTCTACCAAAGACAAGAATAAAATCATCATTTTACATTTTTGATCAAGTATTTAATAGTACTTAGTTTATGTATTGGAAAACTGCATTGTTCTGAACATCTCAGCTTGCTTTCTGTTGCTATGATAAAACCCCATGACCAAAAGCAACTTGCAGAGGGAAGGGCATAGTTCATGTTACATGTCCAGGTAGAATGTCACCAGGAGAAGTCAGAGTAGGAACCTGGGACAAGCACCAAAGCAGAGACCCTGGAGCAGTGCTGTTTCTTGGCTTCCTCTCCATGGCTTGCCTGGTTTGCCTTCTTATATGACCACATCAGTCATTAAGAATGTTCTACAGGCATCTCTCTCTCTCTCTCTCTCTCATAGTGAATGAGTGTTATAATTGTATGTGTGTCTGTGTAATACGTGAATGCATTGTGGTCATGGAAGCCAGAGAGAGAAAGAATTGGATCCCCTGGAACTGGAGTTTCGAACAGTTGTTAGCCACTGTGTGGGTACTGGGAATAGAACCCAGGTCCTCTGGTAGAGCAACTGGTGCTTTTAACCACTGGGTTGGTCTCTCCAGTCCAGGAGGAATTTTCTCAATTGAGGTTCCTCTTCCCAGATAGCTTTAGTTGTGTCAAATTGACAAAACAATTACAGCAAAAAAACAAACAAAACCAGGACGTTGATTATTGGAAACTATTGAGGCATATTAACATTACTGGTTGAGAGATTTTTAGACTTAAAGGTAAACTTTACATTAAGAAACCCTATCTATATGGTCCCTCATTAATTCCCTGAGCTCTGTGGCTATTCCAAATGAAACACACATATCTAAAGAGTAACTAGCATCTGTGAATGAGAGAAAACGTGATGTTTGTCTTTCTGGATCTGTGCTACTTCACTCAGAGTGATCATTTCCAATTCTATCTGGTTACTTGGAATTTTCATAATTTTGCTTTTTAAAAACTGAGTAAAAGCTGGACGGTGGTGACGCACACCTTTAATCCTAGCACTCGGGAGGCAGAGGCAGGTGGATCTCTGAGTTCGAGGCCAGGCTGGACCAATAGCCTCCAAAACAATACAGAGAAAACCTGTCTCATAAAACCAAAAAAAAAAACTGAGTAATATCCCATTGTGTCCACATTTTCATTATCCATTCACCCATTGATAGACACCTAGGTCGTTTCCATTTCTTGACCATTGTGAATAAAGCAGCAAAGAACACAGATGAGCAGGTACCTCTGTAGTAAGAGAGAGTCCTTTGGGAAAATGCCCAGCGGTGGTGTAGCTGGATCACATGGCAGATCTATTCTTGACTTTTTGAGGAACCCCCAAACTAATTTCCATAAAAGCCATTCCAGTTCACACCCACAATAGCAGTGTTCCCCTTTCCCCACGTCCTCACGTGTTCCTTTGTCTCTGTTGTTAGCTTTGTTTTGTGTTTTAGAAGTGAAGTTTACATTTCCCTACTGTGGTAGCAGACAACTGCAGTGTGTCTAGGTAGACATAGGCACAGTAGACTCAGTGAAATAAATGGTGACGTTGTAAAGCATTGACCTCCTTTCTGTTTCCTGACTGGGAGATGGAGCAGCAGATTCTGTGGTCTCTGAGAACTAATACTTCTTACTCTTTCTACATGTGTGCAGCTTTGGAAGCAAATGTTATGTAGTATTTACTCAAATGCTGGGTTTCTCCAAATCCCTGGAACTTTAACGTTTGATCATTATTATATATTCATTTTCAATAGTGATAAATAGACTGATAAAAAAATACAATGTTAGACTCAGTGGATCACCTACAAGAAAGAAGACACGAAAGTAGGGCTGAGTTGTTAGGAAGAAGGTCTCCAGGGCATAAAAACAACTAAAATTGACTATAAATATATGAAACCATGCAACAATAAAAAGCAAAAAACCCCCCAAACAACATGCAAAAGTATAGAATGCCACATGTAATCTGTATTCATCAATGACATTTTTCTTTCTGCAGATGATAATATCTTTAAATTTTATTTATTAATGCCATTGTTATTATCTATAATATATATGTAAATATTGTGTGGTAGCTACTGAATATTTATAGTTAAATGAAATTGAAAACTCAGTTTCTCATTCATACTGACCTCATTTCATATCTACATGTGCCTAGTGGACACTGTCACAACATAGATTGTTATCAGTGTTACTTTCTCTAGGGTTGGACAATTGTAATATATAGCATCGACTACGTGAACATTCTTCAAGTGTAATTCTCTGTGTTTGGGGGCATGCTTATGTCATGACACTTAAAATGTCCTCTTTTCTTACTACGGTTCTCCTTTTGTCTTTCAGTTCAAAAGGATGCTTAATCGGGAGCTCACTCATCTCTCTGAAATGAGTCGGTCTGGTAACCAGGTGTCGGAGTACATATCGAGCACATTCCTAGGTGAGAGCAACCATGTGCAAATTAAAACTTGCCTTAGGCTTGTTTGCTTGCCTATGCTTAGAGGCCAGTTAAAGTTTAACTCAGTTTGGAAACCAAATATATGTTAGAAATTCTATTTTTAATGCATAATGTTAGTAGGATGAGTCTTTAAGTTTCGAAGCCTCAGAATCAATCTGGGGTGAGATGGTATATTATTTATTTATATGTTTATCTGCAGTGTGAGGTATCGAGCCTACAGCCTAGCACATGCTAGGCAAGCACTACATCACTGAGCCACCTCTCTAGCAAGGTCTTTTCACAATACTACATCATGAAATATTTATCACAATATTCATTCATGTATCAAACATTTTTTAAGGCCACCATTGCTGGGCATTAGGGAAATAATAAATTAGAAATAGTCCCTGCCAGCAGGTACAGACAGAATTCCTAAGGGATGCTTTCCAATTTAGCCGAGTGTGGCTTTGTTAGACAGCCCTCTAACCTAGCTGTAGAAAGAAGTTGCAGTAAGTGAAAACTGGTGATTTGAGTTCATCCTTGATAGAGAGCTTTACTTTCAAAACAGATTATTGTGTATTAAGGAGTGAATTCCTGTACTGATGTTTGTTGAACCTATACTGTACAAGGATGAGTTAAGGCTATTCACTTCCTTCACAGAGATGACCTCACTAAGATACCTTATGTCTGTAACTTTTACTGTAGACATTAGCACAGATGCCTCTCAGTAACATAATGTTATGGATGGTCTGTGATCCCTATTGACTGCACTGTAAACATTCCCTTCCTATTGCACAGCGAGACAACAAAGGAGAAGTCCTAAGCTCACTCTGAGGTGCAGCTTAGGCTCTCACAGTGTGACTCCCTGTACTCATTCAGCTCCTGAGTTCATAGGCTGCTGTTCTTGATATATTTGCATATGAAGCCTCTACCATTTTAAAGTAAATGTTGAAACTGGAGACCTTAGTTGGAAAAGTGGTTTTCAAACCTCGAAATTCCATTGGGAATTTGAACACTAAATAACCAAGCATTTTGCTTTCTTTCAGTCGGCTGTCATAGCTTACAGTCTTCTCTAAGGATAGTCTAGCAAGAGGTCTTTTAAATAAAGTAGAATTAGTTTTGTGTTTGAGGATATCAACTATGTTCAACTATAAAAGCAAAACTAGTCTTTGGAGGCACTTTCTAGAATATGTAGTGATCAATTACGCTTTGTTCATTTATATGTTATGTGATTAAAGAGTAAAGTGGAAGTAATAGTAAATCTTGGACGTTTTCTGAATTTCTTAAGATAAACAACATGAAGTGGAAATTCCCTCTCCAACTCAGAAGGAAAAGGAGAAAAAGAAAAGGCCAATGTCCCAGATCAGTGGGGTCAAGAAGTTGATGCATAGCTCCAGCCTGACTAACTCATGCATACCTAGGTTTGGGGTCAAAACAGAACAGGAGGATGTCCTGGCCAAGGTATGGTAATTTCACAGATCATGGTGTGATTTTTTTTCCCCATGAATTCCCTTTCTTTCCTTTTAAACAGATGGAAATGTTCATTAATTTATATGATCTTAGAAACTATTTGGGAGTCAGGCATAGTGGCACATGCCTCTAATTCTAGCACTCAAGAAGGCAGAGGCAGCTGGATCTCTTGTGAGTTTGAAGCCAGCCTGATCAACATAGTGAGTTCCAGGACAGCTGACTAAAAATAAAACAAAATCTGTTTTGTTTTGTGTGTGTGTGCACTCACGCACTCACGAGTGCAGTGCTAATGGATGCCTAAAGAGGGCATCAGATACCCTGTACCTGGAGTTACAAGTTATGAGCCACCTAAAGTTGGTTGCTGGGAACTGAACTGAGGTCCTCAGGAAGAGCAACCTCTGAGCCATTTCTCCAGTCCTTGATGTGAAGCTCTATAAGTTATTAGATTTTTATTAATATGTAGAATTAGACATGTGGTCTGATGTTATTGGTTTGTTGTTTTTGGCTTGCTTATTTCCTTTAATGAATCTTGATTGGGGGGGGGGCTTAGAGTTAGAAATCCGTTATCTGTTCTGGACTTGTGACTAGGTAGATTCTGTAAATTTATTTTAAGTATTGAAGAGATTATTTGAGGTCAATAATGAAAGCATATGAATTTAATTTACCATCAGAATCATGTTTACGCAATATTTGGTTTTCAGTTCATTTAAGTGGATTTGCCTTAAATTTGACTGTGTTTACATGCCATATCCTTTTTAAATGGGTCTTTTTTTTTTATTTTAGCAGTGTTTCTCATTAAAGTCAGCAATTCTTATATGCTTCTGTTTGTCACCTCTCATTCAACTTTGTCTTCTAAGGGTGTTTTTCTTTGCCCTAGGAACTAGAAGACGTGAACAAATGGGGTCTCCACGTTTTCAGAATAGCAGAACTGTCTGGTAACCGGCCTCTGACTGTTATCATGCATACCATCTTTCAGGTAATGTCCTTGAGTTTCTTCTAGCCTGGAAACTGCATATGAGTCATTTTCTGCTGCTGTGATGATATACCCAAGCAGATCATTCTAGAAGGAGAGTGATTAACTTTGGCTCACAGCTTCAGAGAGTCTAGTCACCTAGTGTCTTGAGAGTGTGATAAGGTAGAAAACTTGGTAGAGTAAAAGTGACTCAGCTGAGGTTAATGGATGTAGGGAAAGGTAGAACTCACCCTGGGACAAAACAGACTCCTCAAAGGCATGCTCCTAGTGGTCTGCTTCTTTCAATTGGCCCCCACTTCCTGGTGGCCCATTTAGCTTTGAACTTATTAGTGAAGTTAGTCTCCCTATTGCCCAGTCACCTATTAGCAATAACACCTCAGTTATGATGAGGCATTGGGGTCATTTTTTTTTACCCAAACTGCCCAGCCTTTAAGCCATGCATTATGCATTCTACGCATCCCCTTCAGCTTATTTTGATGGCTCTGTTTTATTGCCCCTTTATAAGGAACAAAAAATAACAAATAAGAGTATATGTAAAATACAAATAATTGCATTTTTTTTCTATTTAAGAACCATGGGGGAAATAGAAACAGGCTATTAGCAATAGTTAGAAAATCATCTCTACAATGCAATGCAGACTCACTTTCTACACAAACCAGTCCCTGCTGGTTCACACAGACTATAGTTTCTTGAGTATATTTTTAGTAGTCTGCCATCATTTCTATATCCCCTTTCATGCTTTTGCCTTTGTACCATGCCAGGGTGAGACATAACTGAGAAGCTAGGGCGGGTGCCTTGGGACTAGATGGGAAACTCCAGGTTGACAGCAAGCATGGGTTTATCTGGTCTGACTGGAGGGCCAAGTCAGCAGCTGCCTTGCACTGGAGCTACCTGCAGGAGTCTAGGGCTGGAAACCCATCCCTCATACAGTACCTCAGAGGCAGAGCTCTTGGTCTCAGGACAGCTCAGTGGTGGGTTGTTGCCAGAGTTTCTACCCTTCTGGGTGTTTCCATTTCCTTCAATAGATATGAGAAAACACTGTTTCAGTTTAGAGTGTTTATGGGCAAACCCTCACTCTGGGGAATGAGTTTTACTAGAAAGACAGAGATGCTAAGAGGATTTCTTTTCTTACAGGAACGAGATTTATTAAAAACATTTAAAATTCCAGTAGACACTTTAATTACGTATCTCATGACATTGGAGGACCATTACCATGCTGATGTGGCCTATCATAACAACATCCATGCTGCAGATGTCGTCCAGTCCACTCATGTGCTACTATCTACGCCTGCTTTGGAGGTCAGGCTGTTTTCTGAGGTGTCACTAGCACCCACTCGCCACTTGTAAAGAGCCCTGAAACTTTGGTCTTGGGAGGTTTTCCATTCGGACAGCAACTAACTTCCTTGGAAATGCATTGACTGACTTATAAGGAGAAAATGGTTGTTAATGAACAACAGATCCTTTGATGAATTCTGTTTGTGAGAATTGGCCAACAATTTGGGGATCCATCTGTTTATAATACTGCTTCTTTGAAATGGCCCAGTGGACATTGTGTGCACACATCTGGCTTGTTGACTTCTAGTTGGGTTGTTTTCTAGAATTTTAGTCGGATGACTCTAGTTCAAAGGAAAGACATAAGCAACATGTCTAAGAATTTATAGAGGAAATGCCTTTTTAAGTTTTCCAAATCCTAAGTAGCTGTTCTGTTAAGTGTTTAATAAAGGGATTTGATTTCCATACTCATCTGGGGGAAAGAGTCCCATTTGCTATATAGTGTAGACTCTTCATTGTAAAATTGTGCTTAAACCTCATTGTTTGCTGAGTGGTTCTTAGCTGGGGATGATTTGTGTCTTGCTGTCCTCCTCCGTTCCTCCACCCAGGGATATTTGGGGAGTTTCTGCTTGTGCGTGCCCCTAGCATGTTGTGAATAAAGGCGAGGGATGGACTAAATGGCACAGTACCGTGCATGGTGCTGTAACCACAGTGTTGCTGGCACTGAGCCTGAGAACTGGTGATTTGGGTGACAGGAAGATGAAAGGAAGGAATTCCTTTTCATAATTCAGTGGGTGTTACTGATTACATGTGTTCTCAGAGTGTATCATTAAACGAGTTACTTATAAGCTCATATTTCCTTTCAGCATCATTTCAGATACTCCTAATACGTTTTTAAATATAATGTATAGGAGAGATCTTGTCATGATGTATAACAAAGTCAGATGAAACACTTTGCTTTGAAATCACATTTTTAAAACTCATCCAAAAGGTTCTTCTTGATGAAAGCATAGCAAGATAATGCCCAACCTCACCCCATGTTCCTTCTGCACCCTAGAGTTTATTTCACTTGTTTCTATACTGTGCTCATGGATGTCTTCCTGGGATAGCATAGTAATATTCCCCGTGCTATTGGTTTTCCAGGCTGTCTTCACAGACTTGGAGATTCTCGCGGCCATTTTTGCCAGTGCAATACATGATGTGGATCATCCCGGTGTGTCAAACCAATTTCTGATCAATACAAGTAAGTGAAGCCTGTTATTTGGTATATTTTAAATATTAAATATGTATATAAAAATATATATATATACATATCAGAGTGATTTTCATAAGTCCATGTTTCTCCATGACCATAAATGTGGTTTTGACATGTATAAATATGTTTTAGAAATAGCATAACACTAATTTCTCTTTGCATATGATCATGGCCTCCCATGAGACAGGCAGTTGCTGTGTGAAAATTATCTGTAAGCTCTGGTATATCTCTAAAAGTCATTTATGATCATGTTTCTGAAAAAGACAACCAAAAGTGAAAGCCGTGTACAGCGGTGTGGGTGGAGATGTGAGCGTATGTACAATGGTGCAGGTAGCCTGTAGGAACTAATCCTAAACCCTCTTCACTCTGCAGATCCCATTGATCCCCACCAGAAATGGTAGCTCTCCTTCCCATCGTCACAAATGCCAGACCCCCGTTTCTTTTCAAAGCTCTCCACAGAAGTAACAGGGACGTAGTTTCTAGCCACTGGTCTTGAACAATTCAGTCTCCTTTTACTCCCCCCCTGTGACCTCTCAGTGTGTAAGAAGACACCATTATTCCTAGAGCTATAAGGAGTGGTAGAGATCTGTTTGTGGCCTCCCTGATACACAGCACACATCTGTAACGGTGCCTGAAGGCTTTTCCCCTTCCTTGGAGAAGGTTTTAACGTTATATAAATAGTACTCATTACTTGATGTTACTAGGTAAATGACTTAATTCTTTCCCATTGTGCTGCAGTAGATTGATATTATAAATTCCCCTTTAACTGAAGAAAAAAGCAAAAAGTTGCAAGTATTTTTCATGTCAAGAAACTGCCTTTCTTCTGCCTTGAGCTATGGGTTACACTCTGTTCATGAGCTGTGGGAACCTGACTATCCTAGTATCAGGGCCTTTACAACTTCCAGTATTACCATAGGAGGATTTAAAGAGAGACGACTGTATGTACCTTGAGAGGCTTAAGTCAGGTCTGTAAGATTACTTAGATCCATGGTTGTATCCTTAAATAGCCCCTGTGGAAATATAACAAAATACAGTCAGTGATTTACAAATGGAGCAGAGGGGCAGAGGACTCACAGGCCCCCTGGGATGTGTGGCTGGTAGCCCACAAATCAGATCTTAGTGTTAGGAGGGGCTTACTGATCACACAGGATTACATCCACATCTGTAGCAGGGCTCATCAAAACATGTACATGACTGTTATCACCATTGACCCTCCTTGGGCAGCTGGGCTTGCCCTGCTCTGGTGCTCAGCTAGACAGCACTTTCTGAAAAGGCCTGGCAGGTCACGTGGTGCAGTGTGCACTGGTACTTTCCATAAATCTGGCCCACTTCAGTACTTTGAAGCTCAAGAATTTCTTGTTATGTTCTTAATTGCACAGATTTAAACAAATTTGTAAACATACCTTGCTTGTGATTCTTCAAGTTAGTGGATCAAACCTAAAAAGAATACTTACTTTGCATTCTTATATGCTATTATGTGTTCCCTTATAGTTGCATCAGAATTAAGATCAGAGGATACAGTTAAGTCAGGTTAGAGTCAGTCTGTCAAGTAGTCTACTGTACCTTTTAAGGAGATCAGGGACAAGTTCTGTTCCTTCTCTGAACCCTCCAAACACAGTTGGGCCTTGGCTGGCACCTGTGGGACTGTGATGGGTGTCTGTCATCTCGGCTAGCATAGCCCCATCTTCTGAAGGCCGAAAAGACAATGAAACAGGTAATGGAGAAACTCGGAGGATGCCTACAAACCTAGAGAAGTGCTCAAAGCTGTCTGTTTAGGTGCATTTTTTCTGGTGACAAGCCTAGGTAGAAACCTGATAACCAGTCCTGTTTCTGGAAGTGAGTTAGCATTGTGATGATCGCTGGGACCACAGCAACAGCCCTCAGTTCTGAGAGCAGCTCTTGCTGGGTTGTGGTAAGGCTGTGAATGGCAGTGCAGCTTGGTACACAGACACATCCCAGGGCTGACCAGAATCACTGCCTTCGCTTTGAGTGATCACCAGAGCCTGCACTCTTGCCTCCCTCCCTCCTGCCCACTCTCCTTCCTCTCCACTCATGCAAACGGTTTATATTCACAACATGCAACAAACAATTCTCGGGTGACTATAAAAATAACAAATACAAGACCTTTAAGAAATAATTTGTTAAACTATGTGTTTATTTTTGTTGGTAGTCACCCTTCAGAATGAGACTTAAGTTTGTATTTTCTTTGGCTTTCATGGACAGATTCAGTGTCAGTGAATCAGACGAGCACACTATCGACCTATTGATTCAGAGCTGGTCCTTCTAACGCCAAAAGCAAAGATTGGGCCTGGTTCTTGTAACAAGGAAATCTGGAGTTTTGATCATCCTCTCAAACCTCTTGAGACCACCTCATAGGCACAGTGAACTTAAAAGATGTGACTCTCAGTGCAGTCATGCCCCTGCCTCTTAGCTGTGATCTTAGTCTTTGGTGGTTTTTGCAGATGGGTTTGTGCTTATTGAAAGTGCCTGGAAGTTGAGAACAGGGAGATCGTTTCTACCTGACAGAGTTGAGGAGGCTGGATCATTTGAGACTCAGTATACAATGAGGAGGGTGTGGAAGTCTATGAACATAGCGCATAGAGAAATTGAAACCCCAGACAAAAAGCTGCCTTAGTCTTTGTGAAGACAACACAGATAAAACACATAAATTGCAAATAGCTTCATACAGGTTTGACTGTAACATCCCAGAAGGTATTTATCACAAAAAGATCATTTGACTTTTTGGTTTTATTTTCTGTGAAAGGTACCGAACATGCGTGATGTTATAGTTTACTTGGAAAGAGAATGCTTTGTTTATAGCTTTGTTTATAGTAAAGATGTCCAAGTTTGGGGAGAAAGATTTATTCACACTCATCTTGTATTCAAAGCATATGTCTATGGGTTTCCAAGAGTAGAGAGGCATTGCATCATAGTAAGTTGAAGTGGGATCTAGTTGCCAGTATATACACTTTATGGAGATTATCAAGCTCTCATATAATTTTAACATACATTTTCCACAGCGGTACTAGTGAATTATATAGAGATCTTTCTTTGTGTAAACCTTTGAAATAAGAACACATTCATTTTTAACAAATGTAATTATGTAGAAAGCAAGGCAAAGGCCTGGCTCTTAGTAGCTTGCATTGTGCTAGGAAAGGTGACAAGTGACTGTGGCTTGAGATGGTACTTCACACAGTGGGAAGCCGAACAGTGCCAGGGCATGGAGCACCGGTGAAGTGAGGGGGAGAAGGGCAGTTTCAGGAACATGGTGTTTAGAAGGTTTTTCTTTTTAAAAAATGGCATGCATTAATTGTATAAGATAATAACACTCACACATGACATTTTCATATGTGTACAAATACTTCAAGATTATATCATGTCATTATCATACATGTACATAATATACCTTGATACAATCCTTCCACCACCACCACCATGCACTCTCTTGCCTGTCCCTCTTCACCCTGGTTCCCTTCAGAAATCCTTACACAGGATTTTATGCCTCCAGTGGCTTGGAGATAGGGTGAGCATGCTGTCATTTTCAGACACTGGGGTAAGCTTAGCTAAACAGCCGGAGTGGAGAGGGTGTAGCTTTTGCTCTTGGTATAACCACCTGCAATCTCTGACCTACTTCCAAGCTGTGCAGCTCTGAGTAGATCTTACCGCCTTCAGACACAGGTCAATCCCCCTTTGCTCGTGGTGCCACCCAAGTAAGCTGTCCCCTGCCCGCTTCCCCTCCAGGTTGAAAGCTGATGAAACATAGGTTCTAAGTTGTCACCACAGTCTTTCCAGTGGCGGTTGCGCTGGACACCCCAGCGTCGTTAGGAGTTAGTGCTAACGAAGTTGATAGGAATGCCCTCCATCTCCATATGTTAAAGATAGCTTGTCATTCCCACAGCACATGGGAAGGGTTGTTCTTACCTTATAGGTTAAGCCTAAGGGGAGAAGTGGACTGCTGGTTTCAAAGGCAGATTTGGTTTGATTTCTATTTGGTCACAAACATTATTATAGTGAAATGTGTTCAATTTGTTCATGAAATTGTCTTATGTCAAAGCAGATAGGCAGAGTGGTATATGTGCATGTGTGCACACGAGAGAGAGAGAGAAGGGGAGAAAGAGAGGGAGAGAGAAAGAAGAGAAAGAGGGGGGAGAGATTTACTTCTTTTGTGTAGATATGCCTGGTAAATTTAAGATTTATAGTGTGTCTCTTACTATAAAATACATGCATTTTATCATATTTTTCAAAAATACCTATTCACTTGAACTTTTGCAAAAAGTAATGTGATCAGGGTTGGGTATAGTGGCACATGCCTTTAATCGTATCACTGCACATAGAAGGCAGAGCTCTGTTGAGTTCAGGGCCATCATGGTTTATGTAGCAAAATCCAAGCCAGCCAGGGCTACAAAGGGAACCCTACATAGTGGCTGATGATGATAGTAATTTGTTCATTGGAAAGTGGAAGAGACACAGACGAATTAACTGGACTCCTGTTAATAGACACTAAGCTACCCATTTCCTTAGAGTATGTCACTTTGAAAGTATATAATTTTAGAACGAAATCTCTCATTTTACACTTTTCATATAAATTGCTTCATTTGGTCCAACAGAAAGCTACGTGCACTTACATTTTACTTAATTTAAATGACCTACATTTTACCTCCTGCATTCTTGCCAGCTCTGCGCTTTTAACAATTGAAATTTGATTTATCAAAATTCTTGATTTTTTTTGTAGAGTTCTTCCTCGTTTTTGCATCCTTTGGCAATTATCACTATAAAATGAAATTCATTTATGTCTACTTACCATGCCACAAGAACAACAGGAGATCCTTAGTTCTTGTCCTTAATGTATAGCTGCAGTGTTGGCAAAGCAACAGCAAGCAGGCCTTCGCCCTCTGCAAGCTTACAGTCTAAGATGTGTGCTCAGTTTCTAGTGATGCTTAGAAAACTGGAACATCTTAATTCAGGATGAGCTCAAAGGAATGTTTCTGTAAGAAATGAGCATTCGAATTAGCAGACTGAGCACAGATCACCATGACCAGTGGGGATGGGCACCATCACCAGCTCATGGAGACCCAAATATAGTAGATGAGATGAGGGGGGAGGCCAATGGTGTTCTCAGTCTGTGCTGGGACATCTGTCACCCCCTGCTCTCAGACATCAGTGCTGCTGGTTTGCTGAGCTTCAGACTTGAACTAGAACTTATACCATTTCTGTCTCTCTCTCCTGACCCATTCCCTTTCTCGGGCCATGGAAAGGACTGAATGCTACTGACTTGCTTGACTATCTGACTTGTACAAGGCCTGAAGATTCAGGCCTTTCCTGGCTTCTATAAATCACGTGAGCCGATTCCTACAGTAAACATAGAGGAATGCATATTATCTGTATCTGACCTTCAGGTTACGTGTCACTGTAGAAGCATGACTCATGGTGATTGGGTTCTAAGGTGGTTTCAGAGGAGCAGAATTCCAAGGATGAATTTTCTGAGTTGCTTTGAGGGTTTCTGGTGTTATCTCTTAGATGTGAAGACACTGGTTCTATATCTTGTAGTAAAGAACATACCGATGGGCTGTATTCTGAAGCATTTGTTAGAGATACCCAAGATATACCTTGAGTACTTCTTATCAACCCCTTACAAGATGTAAAAAGCTGAGTGACTCAGAGTCATCTCAGCACTTTTTAGGAGACTGGGGAATGACATTGTTTGGTAACTCCCAATGTTACTTGGACCAATGTTGGATGAAAATGATGAGCTCAGGGATGGGAATTCCCAGATCAGGTACACGTTAACAGCTTGTGTTTTTGAGTGTGTCAGGATAAGAGCCTTCTTAGTTGTACTCACAAGGATAAATTTCTGAAAGTCAAAGTCAGAATTACCTCCCATGACTGGCTGAAGTACAGTGAGCTCCCAGCTCTTCCAAGACATCTGCTGGTAAAGTGACCTTGGTTGGGAAATAAATCCAGCTAAAATTTGGAGCTCCATCCCTTTGTGAAACTTGTAAGGACCTAGTGCTGTGGGGCATATTGAGCCATCCTTCTAAGGTAGAAGAACAGTAATTACATATAACCCTTCCTACAGTCAAGACAGAAGCACATGATCCCTGGGCCTGGGTGGATTTGGAAGTAGCATTCTCTTCACTGGGGTGTGTCGCTCTGGCCCATTACTGAATGTCATGAAGAACTGTTGCTAGTTTATTTCATGACTCAGAAGAAGAGTCTCTTCCTGGGTCTACTCTGCTGTACAAGTTCCTCATGATTTCACTGGTCCAGCCGTGCCAGCAGCTATGTGGCTGTTGTTTGGAGCTATGTGCAGGGTTCCATAGGCAATTTGTGACACAAAACTTTAGGACTTTGAAGCAAGGCCTTGTCATCATCAAAATTAAAATCAATAAGATAAAAACAGCTCAGCAATAAAACTGAAGTGGTAATAGAAAACATTTCCTCAAAGAAAATGCAGAGCTGGGAGGATTCACTAATTATAATAAAAGCTTGACATGAAGAGTCTAGAAACAGCTTGCCTTTAACTATCAACCCTAGAGTGTCTGAGCTGTATGATACTGGCAATGTTACCTTTCCGAAGACTCATTTTCTTCATTTTTGAATGACCATCATATTCAGATCTTCCTAAGAAAGTTGTGAGCTTTGAGAATAAACCACTTACAACACAACAGGGCAACTGAGTCCCCTGAATGTGGTAGCTTAGGATAGTCTCTTCTCGTTGCTTTTAAGTGAGGAAGAAGGGAGTGTAGTAGAAACTAGATGACTAGGAATAATCTGTAATTTTGTTTAGAGACTCTAGCCTCTAAGTAGGTCAAGAGGGTGGGGTCAAGGAGGAAGACTATGTTCAGACTGAGAGCATGTTCTAATGGTCATTGAATTGTCCAGAGTGTTGGGTCCTTTAGAGAAGAAATGAGCAGTTATGCCTTCAGCAATCAAGAATTATTTCATGGAACAGGTGGCAGCAGACTGGCAGGCCAGCTAGCCTCTCTGCTTATCCTTCCCCACCTTACTGTGCGTATACTGTATGGGAGTGTGCACTTGAAGGACTCTACCTATAAGTCCTGGCTTAGCATCTTTAGCAGGTGCCATAGACTGTTACCTGCCATGTTACATGTGACTCATGCACCGTCAATGACAAGCTTAGAAAGTTAAACGATGACCCTGAGGTTCAATTTCTTAAATGCTTGTATGTTTTCATTTAAAACCAAGTTTTTACTACACAGTCTAGGTTGCCCTTCAACAGCATCAGACTGGAGCAACTGCTTACCCTACCCCAGCCCACTAAGGAATCATTTCCTTACCTAAGACAAGCTTAGTCAGTGCCCTTGGAGCCTGCATCAGAAATCATCCTTAGGCTGAGTAGGTGTTCCGTCTGTAAAATAGATCACCTTCCTGGAGGCCACAGACCCCCAGCTAGCCCTACCTCTTCAAGAGGAATATACATATATGGTTATTCCCCTAAAAAGACCCTGGTAGATTAAGTCATTTTATTCCTATGAGTTAGACAATATTATGTCTTTCTTCCAGCATTTGCTTGTTTTATATGATTCAGCTGTGTATGTGCAGTGCCTTGTGCTCAGATCCTGTATCATTTCTAATTTCTACATGTTTACCCTTGGCTTTCATAGACTATTTAAAAGTAAATTTGATCCCCAGCATGGAAAAAAGCAAGACTTAATCAGACATTACCTTTCAACAATATTGATTTTTCCAGACAAAATAAAAGTGAACCACATACTTCCACATCTACTCTTGAAACCCTACACTCTCCTGTTTCTGGCATGGAGAGCAGTAGATTAGATGTTCCCCTTCTTATGTGTGTAATTCTCCTAAGATCATAGGATTTCCTTGGGGAGCACATCACAAGCTGCCCTCCCTAACTCCTTCAACGCAATCTGTACGTAGTTCCCAATGCTTGTGCCTCAAAAGCAGCCTCCAAATGTATTTTTAGGGCATTAGTTACAGGAAAGATCATGCTTTCAATCTTTACAGCAACTTAAGGAAGCAAAATAAGTGCCTGAAAACATTTAAAGATAATCTCAGAGACCACTCAGTATTTAAGAGCACTGACTGCTCCTACAGAAGACCAGGGTTCAATTCCTAGCATTCAGAGGGCAACTCACAATCCATAAATTCCAGTTCTGGGGGAGTCAATGCCTTCTTCCAGCCTACACAGGCACCAGGCATGCACATGGTGCAGATACTTACATGCAAGCAAAACACTTATACACATAAAAATAAATCTAAAAAACAAAAAGCCTCTTATATCTAAGTCTGCTATCTACAGGATTAGGAAGAGGCAAAGTTTTATTTTGCCTTTAACCCCCAGATCCAAAGCAGTATGTGCAGATCCTCTACTATGGGTCTATGAACAGATGTGCACAGGGACTGTGAAGCCGCAGGCAGGCAGGCAGACAGACAGTTCACACTCAGAGCACTGAGCACAGCTGGCACGGAGCACGACTAGGAGCCTCAGAAGAGGAAACATTTGGAGGGAAGGGGGAGAGGTACTTAGAAGGATAAGCACTATGAACAAACCCAATACTGGAACTTGCTCTTTGCACAAACAACCTTGCACTCATGATCTGCACACTGTATCAGCAAGTGTACCGCACTTACCAGGAAATGACACGTCATGCCCAGAATGTGTTATAGGGGTTAGAAACAATTCCACAGTCTGCTGAGCTGATGGCGAATCCTGATAAGATAGTGTGGTCCATTTCTTTCACCTCAGAGAGCTGACCAGAAGGACCACAATATCAGTCAAATTGTAATTCACTCCTAAAGTTCTGACTTTCTTTTGGCTCTTAGATTATATGACATGTTTGCTCCTGGATGATGGGGAAGTTCAGGGGCAGCTATAACCTGAACACAAGGCATCAAAGATCTTGGGGGTTTGTTTTCATTCATTTATATGTTTTCCCAGAGCAGCCTCTAACTCGTTATCCTCCTGTCTCAGCCCCTGGAATGTTGGGAATTACTGTAGAATTTGAAGAGACAGACAGACAGACATTAAACAACCTTGGTGATATGTTGCTTCTCTCCTTTCAGACTCAGAACTCGCCTTGATGTACAATGACTCCTCTGTCTTAGAGAACCATCATTTGGCCGTAGGCTTTAAGTTGCTCCAAGAAGAAAACTGTGACATTTTCCAGAATCTGACCAAAAAGCAAAGACAATCTTTAAGGAAAATGGTCATTGACATTGTAAGTACCTAATAAAACTGATTCAAGTTCTTAGAGATGATATGAGGTTAGGTTTGGGAGGTGGACTTGTAGAAACTGCCTCTGTTAGTGTTATTCTGTGATAAATCCCAGCTGCTAAGAATAGGGAGTAAGACTAGCAGCCTCAGGCAGACCCTACGGGCTCCTTGATCTCTGCAAGCCCCTATGAGTCTAGGGGGGCCTCACTCTCATATTGTTTTTCTGGGCCCTCTGGTTCCTCCAATCCTTCCTCTGCCTCCTTTGCAGAACTCCCCAAACCCTACCTAATGTTTGATGTTATGGTTAAGTAGTTTGGTGTCCTTGTGTGATTCCTAATAGAGGTAGTAGGGGACTGTCTCTGACTCTTTAGCCTACTTGTGGGACCTTTTTCCTCCAACTGGGTTGTGCCTGCTCCAGCCTTAATGTGAGATGACATGTGCCTGGTCTCATTGTAGCTTGCTATGTGGTGGATGTTTGATGTCCCAGGGAAACCAGCTCTTTTCTGGGGGCAGGTGGGAGTTGGTGAATCTGGAGGAGAGCAGACGTGGAATGGGGAAACTGTGGTTGGGATATAATACATGAGAGAATAATGGAAAAAATTAAGAGCTCATTGTTCAGGTTGTTTTCTTTGCTCTTCTTGGCTAATGGCAGGAAGAGAAAGATGGCTCTTAGAATGCAGAGCATCCCCTGTAACTCCAGTGTTGTCTGTCTGCCACCCCACCCACTTACAAATACCCTCAACTAGACGCCTTTCCCTGTTTCCATTATCCACAGCAATCTCTGGGTAGTATAAACTTATACTTAAAATTTTTAATTGTGTTTATTTACTAAATGTCTGTTTGGGTACTAAGTATACACACACATTCCCTGGTACACCTGTGGAGTCAGAGGATGGTTCTCTTCTTTCTACCACCTGGGTCCTAGAGATGGAACTCAGGTCATCAGGCTTGGTGAGAAGCCCCATTACCCACAGAGCCATCTTGTCAACCCCCAGTGTACACAGGGAGACATCATTTGTCCTAGATCAGCAAAACTAACAAAACAAAACCTAACTCCAATACTTTGTATCCTAAGTCTTTGAGTAGCCTTGAGTCGGCCAGGTGCAGTGCAGCCATGGTTCCCTAGCTCAGAGCAAGCACAGGAAACAGGACCGTCATGGTGTGCTTACCTTGAGTGTGGTGGCCAGGTACCTTCTGTTTCTGTGTTGTGGATATTTTGCTGGGCTCCGGGAAAATTTGACAGCCAAGAGGAAAAGAGCTTCCCAGGGTGCACTCATTTCCACACATCATTAGAATTCATAGTGTTTCTCCATTCCTTCTCAAACTCAAAATCATTTCTTTGTCCACTTGCAAATTCTTTGTCCTCTCGGCATTATTCCCTCACAAAACAATCTTTGCCCTGCCAGGTACTTGCGACAGACATGTCAAAGCACATGAACCTGCTGGCCGATTTGAAAACGATGGTAGAAACTAAGAAGGTGACGAGCTCCGGTGTCCTCCTCCTTGATAACTATTCTGACAGGATCCAGGTAAATCAGCATCTGCCATCATTCTTTATGCACAAGTCAGTGACTCTGAACAAGACAGGGCTTGTTTCTTCTTTGTCCCATCTCATAGGTCCAGAAGCTACAGTCAGAATCTTTGTCATCATCTTCTTATTCTTACTCTTTTTTTTATTGGAAAAAGTGATTTTTGTACATTATTTTCTGATCATGGCTTCCCCTCCCCCACCTCCACCCAGATCCTTCCTGCCTCCCCACCCACCCAACTCCATGTCCTTTTCCCCCTCCTCTTTAGAAGGCAAAACAGACAAACCAGAATCTTAAAACCAAAACACACACACACACACACACAAACAAGATCCAACATACAATTGTAAACCAATATACAAGCCAAAAGAGACTGATAAGACAAAAAAATGCCCAGTCCTTTGTACAGGTAAAGACTTATTGGCCTGCTCATTTGCATATACAGCAGCAACAACAACAAAAGCTTAAAGTTCCAAAGACCAACCATTTGAGCACCTTGGAGTTTAATAAATTCATGAACACTAACAGTGTCTCTTCATGACACTTAAATGCGGGACTGTTCATACAGGTGTGAACCACAGAGGCACATCACGGTTGCGTGTGATACATCTGACACTACATGTATTTTTAAGTGCCACAGCTATCTGATGTGAATTCCTAGTTTCAAACACCAGGCAGCAGATGTTGAGTAAAGAATGCCTCCACCCACCGTAGGTCCTCCAGAACATGGTGCACTGTGCAGATCTCAGCAACCCCACAAAGCCACTGCAGCTGTACCGCCAGTGGACGGACCGGATAATGGAGGAGTTCTTCCGCCAGGGGGACCGGGAGCGGGAGCGTGGCATGGAGATAAGTCCCATGTGTGACAAGCACAATGCCTCTGTGGAAAAATCACAGGTAATTACACAGCCTGAAGAACGGGCTGAGCCACAGCTAAAGCATTGGGCTGTTCTATCTTCAGACCTGACAGCATTTTGGGTGTTTTCTTTTTGTTAATTAACTTGGACTTGACATGGTAGATTTCACTTCTGTTGATGAATCAAAGAACTTTCTTAAGTTTTACGGTCATATAGCCACACATAGAGTACTATAATTAGTTCATTGTGATTGTGTGATTGTATCCATCTAGTGTACTTCTATACGCAGAATGCTTGCTAATTCCAGTTATCTGGCCCAGGCCCTACCATGTAAATAACTGGTATTCTTCATAGTATATTGTAAGCATTACTTGAGCTAAGAGCTCTATTTTGGCCAGCTAGTCATCAGGCTTATATGACCTCTTGGCTCAAATAGTGACTAATTTACCAAACTCAGGTTAGGAGCCTTCTATGCAAGTTCCATGAGGGACCATGATTCTGTTGGGTTTTCCCAATTTCCTTAGTGCAACTGGATTTCTTTTCTCTTATGACCAGGTGGGCTTCATAGACTATATTGTTCATCCACTCTGGGAGACATGGGCGGACCTCGTACACCCCGACGCCCAGGACATCTTGGACACTTTGGAGGACAATCGTGAGTGGTACCAGAGCACAATCCCTCAGAGCCCCTCCCCTGCACCCGATGACCAAGAGGAGGGCCGGCAAGGCCAAACTGAAAAATTCCAGTTTGAACTAACCTTGGAGGAGGATGGCGAGTCAGACACTGAGAAGGACAGTGGGAGTCAGGTGGAGGAAGACACCAGCTGCAGCGACTCCAAGACTCTGTGCACTCAGGACTCGGAGTCCACGGAAATTCCCCTGGATGAGCAGGTCGAAGAGGAGGCTGTAGCAGAAGAAGAGGGAAACCAGCCCGAAACTTGTGTCATAGAGGATTGCTGTCCTGACACGTAACAGTGTAAAGACTGTCACACTTTTTTCTTTTCTTTTTTTTTTTTTTTTAGTAGAGAAAATGTTTCCAAAGTGCATGTCACATGCCACAACCATGGTCACACCTCACTCTCATCTGCCAGGACGTTTGTTGAACAAAACTGACCTTGAACTACTCAGTCTGGCGCTCAGGAATACCGTTACCAGTTCTTTAACCTCCGTGTCACCGGAGCAGGGGGAGGGGGGGTCGTCATCACGAACATGATTTCAGCTTGGCAGAGCTGACAAAGAGAAAATCCGCTCCAACTGTTTTCAAGGGAGCTTGGCTCATCGGGCTGCCCAAAAGTAGATTGGATTGCAGGATTCCTTTCTTGTTTGTTTGTAAACATTTTAAGAAGAAAAGAAGGCATTTGAGGGATGGAGTGAACTCACAGATGAAGCAATGAAAATGTCACAAACAGGACACAGCCCAAGTCTGTGCCCAGGAGGAGGATGAGCCGCAGAAATTGCATAATTTTCTAATTTCAAGTCTTCCTGATAACATGACTGAACAGTGCGGTTCAGTGAGCCACACTCACCTCTACATTTTGTATGATATGTAAAACAGATTTTTTGTAGAGCTTACTTTTATTATTAAATGTATTGAGGTATTATATTTAAAACAAAAAAAACTGTTCAGAACTTCATCTGCCACTGGTTATTTTTTTTCTAAGGAGTAACTTGCAAGTTTTCAGTACAGATCAGTGCTACACTGGATAAATCTCATTTACGGATTTTACCTGCACCTTAGAGTTCATAGCAATTAACTGATTTGTAGTGATTCATTGTTTTATATACCAATGACTTCCATACTTTAAAACAGAGAAACAACTTTATGTTGCCAGAAGCCCTTTTTGTAAGTGTCTGTTGACTCTGCCTTTTGTTCACTCCTCCCCCAGCAGGAGAGTTGCTCTCCGTCACTGCTTCCTTCATGGTGTGCGAAGTGAGTATTTAGTCTGTAATATTTTAATATGCATTATGTCAAATGTGTCTTCAGTCTCATAGAAACTCAGTCATCAGTTGGTGTTGTCCAAAGTAAATGGGAGATACATAAATACCAAGTAGCTAAAAGAGTCAGTCTTTTTCAGGCATCTTCTTACCTACTGCCTTCAGATGCCTTTTTATTTTTCTGTGTCAGGAGATGTGCATTTCACAAATGCGTGTCCTTGTAGTCACCCACACATTTCACGATCATTTTGTTGTGTTCACAGCCAGTTATAGTAAGAAAGACATTTTTCCTTCTTGCTGCACTATTTAATGTGTGTTCCAGTGTCTGCCCATGTTCTCTTGGTGGGGTCATATGAAGGATATCACTACCGTTCTGACCTAGAAAAGAGAAACAGGTTATCAAGTGAGGGTTGACATTCATTTCTACCACATGGTTCTGTGTCATCACTAGCTTTTACTCTGGGGTTGCAGAGGAAAAACATGCCAAGTGCTATGTGGGCAAGTGCTAGCAGACTATATCAACAAATACCGGGACGACTGTGGTTTGAACTGCCCATGGAAGTAAGACCTCCACGAGGACTATCCCTGGAAAGTGGATAAGGTGTAAAACTTGTCATTGATTATTATTGCTCCCCAAGTTTGCCCTATAGGAAAGGACTCCTTCAGTCACATTAAATGAAAGTTAATGCCATTGGCATGAGGAGGGTATTTATGCAATGCAATCTAAAACATTATATTGACAGAGTCTGCTCCAATATAACATTAAGAGGAATTCCAGATTCCAGCCCAGGAACTCTACTGATTTTATATATTAACTCCCAGTATTAACTTGCTGATAGCAGTCTGCCTTGTTGCCATGTGTTTAGTCCGAACCTTAGTTATAGTCTCAGAGTTTGGAGCACATGTTATTTTTCTTTTTGGCATCCAAATGGGGAATAAAGAGGAAAGAGGTATATGACTAAATGGGAAAGGAAACATTTAAGAAAAATCATAAGTCCGAGAAAAAAATCTGTAAAACTTTTCAAGGAGGTTAGGGGCTAGTCACTAAGAAAGTAAATCATCAGTCAGGGAAATCACCAAAGCTGAGCTGAAACCTGTTTCAATCTCTTGAATCCAAATGATGCTTAGAACCTTTGGTACAAAAAATAAAAAATAAAAAGTTTCTGATATTTAACACAGGCATAATAAGAATCAAGTAACTGATCCCTGGAGTGCCAGCCTCCTTTCCTTGTAAAAAGTGAGCAAAGCATAATCTGCCTTTGCGTGACCAGACTTTTCAAAAAACATTTGGTCACCTGGTTCCCTTTTCATTGTATGTATCCCAGAAGGCGGTCCAGGAGGCAAGGCAGAGAGCCTAGAGTTGATTCTCCCTTTCAGAGTCATTCTCCCTTCCTTCTCCCCCTACACATGGCATTTCCCCCACAGAGTGCCTGCAGTCTTCATAATAAATAGAAACTTAAAAGCAGCAATATGTCATAAACAGATCCATACCTGCAAGGGTTTATAACCGCACTAGGGAGCCTTTGTTTTTCATTGTGCTGGTTTTTAATGGCACTGTGCTGTCACATCATCCGCTGATGGACAATCAAGCTGTAGAGGACACATACTATCCAAGAGTTAAAGACTACCGTACTATACCATCTGCTTACCACCCCCACCCCTTTACCTGCCCTTGCCTCTGCTCACTCACTTTCTCTCACCAGATTTTAAACAGAACATCATTATACAAGTGGCTTTATTTCCTAAAATGCAATATCTGGGTACTGTATGGGGAAAACCAAATCCAAGTTTGCATAAACCCAGTACATTTCAGCTTGCAAGTTACTGAACACAATAATGCTGTTCTCATTTTGTTCTCCTTCACGTCAGTTAAAAGACACAAGTAACAGTGTAGATAGAACAAATCGCAGATAAGGAAAGAAAAAAACTTGAATGAAACAGATTTTACAGAAAGCTTTATGATAATTTTAATGCTTTATTTATTTTTTGTGCCATGCTTTTTTTTCTCACCAAATGACCTTACCTGTAATACAGTCTTGTTTGTCTGTTTACAACCGTGTATTTATTGCAATGTACATACTGTAATGTTAATTGTAAATTATCAGTTCTTATTAAAACATCATCCCGTGGTGGGATGGTGTTGACATATTTGGAAACTCTTGGTGAGAGAACGAATGGTGTGTATACATACTCCTTGTACATTTTTCTTTTCTTCTGTAATATAGTCTTGTCATCATAGAGCTTGTTTATGGAAGATTCAAGAAAAATATAAAATACATAAAGATATATACATTTAAATATCATAGCTGCAGGTCTTTGGTCCCAGGGCTGTGCCTTAACTGTAACCAATATTTTCTTCTGTTTTGCTGCATTTCAAAGTAAGGTGATAGTGAGGCTCGGGCTGGGCTTTTTATATCCGCACTCTTCACTAATTGGATTTCTGGCAATAGCTGGATTTTACAAAACAACAGATCACTGCTGGAGGACCTTCTGACACTTTCTAGATGCATGATCTTAAGTACTTGTTTCCATGGAGCAAGACTGCACACATGGTGACTGTTTCCCAGCTGAGTGCTGGGAGCTATTTCACCTGGACATACAGAATTTTTTTTCTTAATCCCAAACATGTACTGGGGAAATATTCTTCTCCAGTAATTGTTGAATGGCTTTTGAATTCTAGCCCTCACAGGTGAATGAATTTGATTCGAAATGGGAGTCATAGGTCACTCATTTTGGTTAGTCCTCTGCTCATCAGCTTCCTGTCATACCAAAAATGTATATTATTTTAATACTAATTTTTCCTCCAAGATCAGATTTATATATGTATAGTACATAATACATATACATACACACTGTCTAAATATATACATGTAAATCACCTAACTTAGTTATATGATGATGCCAATTCCCCCAATGTAGCGAATTCATGTCTCTCTAATATTGTTTCTGCAAAACATACATCCTAGTAGGATTGTTAAGTGTGACCTTGCACAGTGACAAATCCTGAAAGCCACAAGAGCTTCCTGGTGGAAAATGTGGCCATCTCTCACTACAGCCCAGCCCTTAGAACGTGTAGACACAGTGGAGAGATAGAATATTTTTTCTAGGAAAAATGAGCCTCCTATTATTTCATTTTATTTTTGACACAAACTGTAGATTTTAGCAGCCCTGGCCCAAAGGAATTTAATTACTTTTGTTTTAAACAGTACAAATGGGACACTATACTTAAAAAAATACATCTTTACTGATTTCAGTTTTTTAATTGTTTTATTTCTTTGGGTATGTTTTCAGAGTGGTAAATTGTGTGCGCGCATCACAGATGATTCTGTTAGTGGTTTCTTAGCCTCTCTTACAGCCCATGGGGATAGTACTGTACATCAATACCTTCATATAAAATTTTTATATGCAATGAAAATAAAAGCATGGGTTGATTCTGCCTACTTATGATTTGGTCTTTTACAAATAAATAATGTAGTTTTAAATGACACTTTAGTCACCACACATTTCCAACAGTAATGACCTTTTTTGACGTGACAGGCTAGTTAGTGATCTCATGTCAGTACTGATACTCATAACCTAGTGAAGCTGAATGATGTCAATCTTTCGATATAAAAATCTCTCAATTCACTGGTACGACATACAAGATGAAACACACAGCTTTCTAAATAGGTCTAGGAAGGGGCCACCTGCATTTAAATAAGCCATCTGGTAGACCAGAATCTAGCATTCTGATGTTCCAAAATTACTTAGACACTGATCTCCATGTTTCAAGCTTCTGGGATTTGCAGGGAAGGAGACACAGGTCTATTCCCCTGGGCCTTGTTTTTTGAGTGACGGAAGCCTGGAATGGTTCACTGCACATTCCCACATGCCAGTAGAGCTGTGCACAGAAGAGTGAAGAAGCTCAGTAGTGCTTGAGAGGAGGAGGAAGGAGAGCCAGGTGGAAGAAACATTTGCAAAAACCCTGAAGTGTGAATGAACTTGAGATACCTGGAGAACAATAAGAACAGGGTAGACAGGAAAGGCATGGAGCAGAGAGACCATTTTTAGTTGTTCTATGTAAAGAACACACAGATCTGTCACTCCCATCCTCTCAGCCCCATTCAGTTCTCTTTGTTACACATCACAAAGTGATAGACATATGCCCTTATTTATTGTCTGTCTTTCCTACCAGATTGTGGATGGAGGACTGCAAGGTCTTCCTGGCACATTCCTAGCTCTTACCATTTGGCTAGGGGCACAATTGATGCTCACTACATTGAATATAGCCACTGAGTTGATAATGCACATACAGAAATCTTGCAAATATCCATGCTGGCTAAATTCCACTGACCTAAATGCAAAGATGCCCAGGTACCCTCTATAAAATGGAGTATTTGCTCACTGCTTTGGTACAGTATTCCATGTACTTTAAATAGCCTTGAGATATTTTTACAATGCCTAATACAGTATAAATACTAGTAATAGAAATAGCCATAACATATAGGGAATAGTGACAAGGAAGGCCAATTTTACACATATTCATTATATAGGTGGTGTTTATTGGAATCTTTTTGTTCTTTGACTGGGTAAGCTCATAAGAAAAGGATCCATAAAGACAAAAGCTAAGTGTAATTCAGCCAAAAGATACTTGACAATCTGAGAGAACATTTAAAACTTAATAATAAAAATATTATGGTTTGTTTGCATTTTGAGCTTGTTAAACCTTGATAAGGTTTAAATCTTTTTTATTGCTAATAAACTTTGCCAACTTCTCACAAACCACAAGAATAAAAATCAATGCATTTCTTATGATAAATGGAAAAAGAAAGCACAAAGTTGCTCCCCAGATAACATCCAAACCTTAGGCAGCAGAGTAAAGGCCATTAAGTGCAACCATCTCACCACCCACTGCACAGTTCCCTGTAGCCACATCAGAGAACAGTAGTGTCTGTAGTCACGTCGTATCTGAGGACTGAAGATTTCTCGATGGGTAAAGGTCCCCAAGCCTGGGGAATGGAGTTTGATTCCCAAGACTCACATGGTAGGACAGAGAACTGACTCTAGAAGGTTTTCCTGACCTCCTCACTTTTGCCCCCCCCACACACAGTTGTTTAAAAAAATGTACCTGGTATATGCCTTCCAGGAAAGCTTTCCTTTAAATAAGTTCCTTCAAGGTTCCTGACCACAATATGAGATTCAAAAGAACCAACTCCATTTGTTCCCTGCCTGTGCTTCATGCTGAGAGGCTAAATTGGTAAGTAGAACCCATCCACTTACTTTTCCAGCTGAACCCCCAGCAGCAAAATTTTACAATTATCCCAAAGACATCTTCCCATTTGTAAAGAGCACTATCCACATAATGCTGCTTCAGTAGGATTGTCCCTGAACCTTTTCTTCTGAGGCCAATGGTGTTTTCCCACAGCACTTCCCATGTGTCCAAGTATTTCATCCCAGATCAATAGAGTAGGTATGAACCTGAGTTCACGAACATTGGTATGCTACATTGTCTTACCTTTATATAAGTTCATATCTTACCAAACTAATGGAAATTTTCATCTCCATCGTAACTGAAACATCTTCTCTGCTCCCCAACAATAAAAGGTCTCATTTCCAGGCTAACTGGGGTACTAGGCTAAATACGCTGTTGTTTCTACCACCATGGTTCTCCTAACAGTCCCTTGAGCCTGGTTTGTATTTTATGTGGTATTTCAGAAATTCATGCTGATTCTTGGAGTCCTGATTTGGGATTCTACTTCCATAGCACTCCAGAGTTCTATGTACATAAAATGAGCCTGCCCTCCCCATGTCTCAATGTTACCCACAGGCATCCTAAGATGAGCCTGCCCTCCCCATGTCTCAATGTTACCCACAGGCATCCAAGTATGGGACACTTTTGGTTTCCATGTTTTTGTGTCTCAAGACAAAGAATTGTACCAGGAACACATGACAATAGAGATTGTTTCCTAAGAAAGACAAAGACACTCCAAAGAGGGCGTGGGCTAGTGAATTGAGGAAAGCCATTTGCTCAAAAAGCACTGGGGCACGAGAGTCATGACCCTTCGTAGTACGTTTTTAAAATGCATACCTTTTCTTGCATTTGTGTATTATGGACTCCCCTCAGGCCTATTCTGTTCCATGCAGTCAGGTAGGGAAAAGGTCCCAATTTTCCAACTGCCTTCTTTCATATTTGAATCTTGTTGTTATTATCTCCAATTCCTACTGTCCTGACACAGAAAGACCCATGGGAATCAATCTCTCTCTCTCTCTGTCTCTGTCTCTCTCTCTCTCTCCTGTTTCTTTATCTCTGTCTCTCTGTTCCCCCTTTGCTCTTCAGTGGAATTTGACTTTGAAACAAACAAGTCCAAAGATGGTTTTGATTTCAGTCTTTGGTCTCCACTATACAATGTATCTGGCTATTGGTATATAGAGGAGAGAAAGAGATAAGAAGAGCATATGTTAAACATTAATCCAGTCAATTAACCATGGTTGTTGATTGACATTTAGACCCTACATTGTTCACTGAAGGTCTTGAGATGGGGAGGTAGTTGAGACCCTCTCCCTTCAGAAGTCAACAGACCTTCCTCCACATCCTGTATGAAGTACGTATATGGAGGTGGGAGGGACTACCATTCCTTCATGAAGTATCTCTGATCTAATTTTACCTCTGATCATTTCTTCTCTCCTCATTTCAATTACAGGTGAAAAGCACTTGAGATAGTCTTTGAAACAAGGTTTCCCTCAGTAGTCCTGGCTGCCCTAGAATTCACTATATAGCCCAGGATGGCTTGGAACTCAGGATAAACCTTCAACCTCAGTGTCACAAATGTTAGTATCACTAGTGTGTGCCACTGTACCCAGCACACTTGATATGAAAGTGTTAGATCCATTTTTCATTCTCCAACATCTCCAAGCCAATAGCGTAAAGGGCCTATGTAGTGATTCACCCCATTTCATTGCTACGAAAATAAGGATATTCAAGGAGACTGACAGATAACACTTCTTAACCCAACTACTGATGGTGATTATTAACAAATCATAATTACAATGGCATCTTCATCACTGCTTCCTTTTTGTGTTGATCAAGGAGTAAAACAGTATTGGAATGTCTTTGACTCCCTGCTACCTTCCTCCCTTAGAGATGTCACAGATCATTTTCACAATCCAAAGCTGGATGGCAAATACTAGTTCAATCTCATCTCCTTTTCCTACTCACCTCATCATAGATTGGCAATTTTTTACGGTGAGGAAAAGACCCGGATAAAACTATAAAGAAAAAAGAAGATAAGAAAATAAAGATATAAGACAGATATGTGCCCCTGGACAGAGGATCATGGCCTTGAGTCAGGTTTTGGTGCCACTACTCACAGTGTGCCTGGTGAACCAAGGGAACAGGCATAGGATGGAGCCCCTCAGAGCTGTTCAGCAGGGCATTTGCTGGCTACTTAGAATTGCATAGCCAACAAACACGGCTTCGATAGCTGAACCCTGCAAATGTGTTGTCTGCACATGTATTGTTTCAAAAGTCCTATCGACTGAGAGGTGATTTTCTGGTGGTCGCTGTTCTGAACCAGAAATCGGAATGAGTGTATGGTAGGAAGCACTTGCTGTGTCCAGTTCATGCAAGCACCCCTTGTACCTGGAGCCTGCATTAATCAGGGAAGCAGGCAGTCTCTCACCTCAGCCGCATCTTAACAACACTTTGCTCACTTTCTTCCCAGCCCTGCTTTGGTTCTCACTGTTCATTTGCAGCCTCTAGGCAGGAAGACAGAAACCATTAGATCACCCCACCATTGCCTTCCCTACTTTCCCAGAAGCCAAGGTCAAGAATACAGATGGAAGCCAATGATAGCTGCTGCTGTTCTGGCAACCCAAAAGACTGCTCAGCAGGCAACTCCCATGTTACTGAAAACCATATTTGGTATGGTATGGAATTGTATACAGTGATCAAAGAATGCCTTTGGAAACATTCTGAAACTAACTGCATGGATTGGTAATTTAAAACCTAATAGGTAGGCTGGAAACATCTTTTAAAGCATGGATGAGGGGAAAATAGAGAAAGTTAAGAAATATGGGCCCTCTATTATGATAGCATTCAAGAACAGTGACAATTTCTCAAGTTCCCTAGAGGACCCAGCTCTTGGTTCTTGACATGCTATGTAATAATTGAAGAATCTCATGGAACTAAATCCCTCATAACTCCCTCACATCAATCATTGGCAGGTACCCTGTGCTTCAACTTCAAGATGCTTTCATGTCCTGCCTACTATCATCTCTCTGCTTATTCCTTTAGATCTAGTGTAAATATACCCTTGTCTACAAAGCCTTCCCCAGGAGCATTTTGTGCATTCTGCTATGGAAAATCAAATGATCAAACCACAAGCCAGCTGTGGCAATAAAATCCCCAGGGATGTTAATAAATATTTCATTTGACTCTTATGTACCAGAGTCTGGTGAGGAC